AAACTATTAAAGGTCTAAAGGTAGCGGACAATGAGGTTATGGTAAGCTTTGACATCACATCACTCTTTACAAACTTACCTATAGCTGATTGTATCAAAATTATTAAGAGCAAACTTATTAAACACAACATGCCTATAGAATATGCGGATATCTTAGAACATTGCTTGACAACCGGGTACCTACTTTGGAATGGGGATTTCTATGTTCAGGTAGATGGGGTAGCCATGGGTTCTCCAGTTTCACCCTTAGTTGCTGACATTTTTATGGAAGACTTTGAGGAGAGAGCCCTTGCTTCTTCCCCGGTTAAACCTAAGCTTTACAAGCGATACGTAGATGATACCTTCACCATCTTACCCAAAGCACAAGTATCTGCATTTCTTACACACCTTAACTCAATTCACAATAACATTAAGTTTACAATGGAACAGGAGGACAATAACACACTACCTTTCTTAGACATTTTAGTAATTCGTGATGAACACGGTAATATTGGGCATACCGTCTTTAGAAAAACAACCCATACAGATAGGTATTTGAACGGTGACTCACATCACCACCCCAGCCAACTTAGTTCTGTCGGAGTATCTTTGTTTCAGAGAGCCCGCCGTCTCTGTGATGCTGCCCACTTAAATGAGGAGTTACAGCATGTCAAGCAGGTCCTATGCAAGAACAAGCTGAGAGTCCCTCCGCAGCATCCCAGGAACAGGAACAAGCCACCCACAGTCAAACGTCAGCCCGCCTACCTACCATATGTGAAGGGAGTTACAGATAGAATTAGCAGAGTCCTAAATCGAGCTTCTATTGACACAATTTTCAAGCCGCACAAGAAGATTCAGCAATTCCTGAAACCAAGCAAGTGTACTATCCCTTTACAAGATGCAGGCGTTTACAGACTGGATTGTGATTGTGGCCTATCCTACATCGGCCAAACAAAGCGTAGCATCTCAAACAGAATTAAAGAACACGTCGCGGATATAAAACATAAACGTCTCTCCAAATCTGCGGTATGCCAACACTCATCAGAAGGGCCCAATCACTACATTCGCTTTGACCAACCAAAAATCCTCGCAAAGGAGAGTCGATTTTTTCCAAGATTGGTACGCGAAGCAATTGAAATCAAAAAACACCGAAATTTCAATAGGGAGGACGGCCTCAAACTATCAAACACCTGGGATCCCATATTAAAAACTCTGGATCCCAATAAACAGCATACCAGCAAACGCGAAGACACCGTTAGTCAATTCTGTAAGGACCCGGCCAGTTTCGCCAAATACCAACTTCGACGGAACAGATGGCGCTAGCGTAGCAATTCTTTACTTTGACGTCTGAGACATCCTCCATCTTTAGTCTCCCCGTGACCACGGCTGCTGCAAAGCATCCGAAACGTCGGGCCGAAGTTAAAAATCATTTTCAAATAAGTTTAACTAATATATCGCGTTTTAAACCGTTAAAGTGTTTTATTTAAATTTTTTAAAATTGTCAATGACTACAATCATTTTTAACTTTCATAAATAGTTTCCAGTGTTAGTATCAATATGGTGTTTTACACTTGAGCTATGCTATATATTTACTAAAAATTAGTAAAGATTGGTTCTAATCTTTATGTAAAGTTAATATATTGTATGTCACCTGGTACAAAATAGCTTATTGCATTATGGTTAAAGAATTTTCCATATCAGACAATGACTTCGTAATGCAAAAGACATGTGAGAACTAAAGCGAATTGTCCTGCAATATTTTTTTTCCTGGCAGGATATTGAGAGAGGCACCAGCTACCTTCGCCTTCGACCCGACCGTGTGGCGATGCAAGATGCCACTGCCCAGATGGCAATGTTGCAATTCATCTCATCTGGCTTGCCAAGGGTGGCAGTGCCGTCCACCATACATTGTGATCACTTAATAGAAGCCCAGATTGGTGGAGAGAAAGATTTGGCGAGAGCAAAGGTACGTTGTACAAGTACAGCATTTAAGATGTTATGTAGTAATGCACACTACTCTATGTATCCACCTTTGTCTTTATTGTATTGAATATTTTTAAGTTCGCCTAGAAAATTCAATGTAGGGCTGAAACTGAATTTTCCAAAGGTTTCCCCATAAATGCTTATTTGAGGGGAAAATTTTGAAAAACTAAAAACAAATCATAAAAATAAATTCCTCTCCTAAAACAGGACATCAACAAAGAAGTCTACAAGTTCTTAGAGACGGCTGGGGCAAAATACGGCGTCGGCTTTTGGAAGCCAGGTTCTGGTATCATTCACCAGATTATACTTGAAAACTATGCTTTCCCTGGATTGTTGATGATCGGAACAGATTCTCATACTCCAAATGGAGGAGGTCTAGGTGGACTTTGCATTGGTAAGATTGTTTCTTCAAACCCCCTAAATTGCTGTTTGGTGTTTGATTAGAAAATAATGAAAAAAACTTAATTTTGGTATTAACCAAAAGAGCTCACTAAAATTATTTTATAATATTAAGATGGCTAAAGTTTTTGTCACTGGTATCCGACTTTGAGAAGCGCAGTATTGGTCTAAGATTCGAGTTTAATCCATCGATAAAAAACATTAGCGCCTCTCTTAACATTATTGCACTTCTAAATTTATTATTCTTCCTCTATATACCCAGCGCTTTACTAGACTCACGATGACCCCGTATTTTAGGTGTCGGTGGTGCCGATGCCGTAGACGTGATGGCCGATATCCCGTGGGAGCTGAAGTGCCCGAAAGTAATCGGCGTACGCCTGACTGGTAAGCCGTGCGCGTATCTCAAAAGCATTATAGTGCGTCTTCGGTCTCCAGGGAAATGTGAAGTAAATAATCTTAAGATATCTCGTGCTAAAAATAGTAGCAACGTGTCGTGGCCCGCAGCCAGGCGCCCAATGCCTCGTGCTATTTCGTTTTATAGATAGAGCAAACGCAATCACTTTCGACCGAACGTGTCAGAGGGATGTTTTATTGGGTCCATCATATTAAGATTACCCGCATAGCCGATTTTGTCATAAAACCCATTTCGTTGCGTTAAAGTGTAGGATACACAAACAAATGACATTCCTTTAAGGAAAAATAAAGAAAAACACCCAGTGCTATTTTATTTGGAGATAAAAGTTGAATAATTATCATTGTTTAATCATGTTATCGTAACAATGGCGTATAGATCTTCACTTGGAATTTTCCAAAAAAAATTTCAAGATGTTCAGCGTTATCTTACATATTTCAATATTTATCAAATGATAAAATATTTACATGTGATTTTACAGAGTTTGGAAATCCCTCTACCTATATTGCGCACATCGCAATAATTTCACCGACTACTTACGACTACAATTACGTACATCAAACATATTTACGAGATCGATAACGCGACATTGTCGTTGTTATGAGGTCAATTGGAGTGTGTTGAAATTGAGCCGAAGTGTTTGCCACGTCAGAAGTATTAATTAACTAAACGGCGCTACGTAGCGAGGAGACACTTCTTCTGTATAATTCTATGTATCTAGGAACATGTCTAATGGACAAAAAAAAACATTTTTCAGTAAAATTATATTTTAATTAATTATTCACTGATAAAATCACCAATCACATCCTAACGCCGTTTTCGTCACCCATGCGTCAAACATTCTCTACTATAGCTCAAAGCGACGGACGTGGGCGCCATAGCTGGGTCTTGTGCGTTCAGATAAGGGTAGGGATAAATGGAGGCACTTGTAATAATTAAAGATGATTCATAAAGGTAATAGTTTCCTGACAAATATGAAAGTGCACAAGAAAATTCGGTTTTATCAAAATAAAGTCATTATTTATAATTAATTTTGGGCGCTCCGAAAGTCCGAAGGCTTAACGAACAAATATGTACTGGAAGATTTCTAATACCACTTCTAAAATATTACAAAGGCAATCTAAAGACTATTGCAGGCAGAGAGCGGCTATTGCAAAGCATCCGAAACGTCGCGTAGTTAAAATAATTTACAAGAAATTTTAATTAATATATTTCGCGTTTTAAACCATTAAAGTGTTTTATTAATATAAAAAGATAACTGTGATGCAGGCTGTACTAACTCGTGCTTCTCTAACGGAATGTCTTATCGCAAAAAATGTCAAAATTTTAAATTAGATTTACATTATTCATCTTATCAGGTAAATTGTCCGGCTGGACTTCTCCCAAGGACGTCATTCTAAAAGTAGCCGGTATCCTGACGGTGAAAGGAGGCACAGGAGCGATCGTGGAATACCATGGCCCCGGAGTGGATTCCATTTCCTGCACTGGAATGGCCACTATTTGCAACATGGGTGCCGAGATTGGAGCCACTACAAGTGTAAGTGTGTGACCGAGCATTACTTAGCCGAATCAATCTTTTTATATTCTTTATTAACGAAGTTAACGATTACTAATCTCCTTGCAGTTGTTCCCATACAACGCTCGCATGGAAGCATATCTGAAGTCGACGGGTCGCGAGGGAGTGGCCAGCGCTGCCAACTCTGTCAAGCATCTCCTCACTCCAGACGCAAAGGCGCCTTACGATGAAGTAATTTTATTTTAACCAAACGCTAGTTCGGACATTTCATGCCTGCAATTATGCGGTCTCTCGTATCTTCTTTTAGATCAGATCTAATTCGTTGTCTGTGTAGATTTAACCAAACGTTTTTGTATAATGAAACTTACCGGTACACATTAAGGGCCACCATTATTAACTTGTTCTCTTCACTAGCTCATCGAAATCGACCTATCCACCCTGGAGCCCCACGTGAACGGACCGTTCACACCGGACCTCGCCAACCCCATCTCCCAGTTGGGCGACGCCGCCAAGAAGAACGACTGGCCGGTCGACATCCGCGTAGGACTCATCGGGTCTTGCACCAACTCTTCGTATGAGGACATGGGTCGCTGTGCTAGTATCGTCAAAGAGGTGATTTTTAATGTCATCGATCGACAAACGACCGACTGTGCATCCGGCACGTTTTCGCTAACAATAATAATTTTGTTCACGTGGGCACATTTCTGCCTGATCGATTAGTAACGAGCGAGTATATTTAAACGGGTTTTAACTAACAGTCAAAGCAATGTTAGTTGACGTCCGATCACGAAGTATGCACCTTTGGCTTCAATCTTGGAATGTTCGCAATAAATTTGAAATTATCTATTAATTTACATAATTGTCGTTCAGGCGCTAGGACACGGTGTCAAATCTAAGATTCCTTTCAACGTGACACCCGGATCCGAACAAGTCCGCGCCACCATCGAGAGGGACGGCATCGCACAGACTTTGAGGGACTTCGGCGGTACTGTAAGTGATTTTGATAATTGAATTGACAAGGACCTAAGGTGAGACCTTTATTTGTTCCATGTGTGTTTTCGTAGGTGCTGGCTAACGCGTGCGGTCCTTGCATCGGTCAGTGGGACCGTAAAGACGTGAAGAAGGGTGAAAAGAACACCATTGTGACGTCGTACAACCGAAACTTCACCGGACGCAACGACGCCAATCCTGCTACCCATTGTTTTGTCACCAGCCCCGAGCTGGTCACGGCCCTCTCCATTGCAGGTCTGGCTTATCATTCTTCGTAAAGGCTAATTTCAAATTCGCATCAAATCCAAACCGATTTAAAGCAATTATTGTGCGTTTCCCTCACTAATGAAGTATTTTACATCAGGTCGCTTGGACTTCAATCCGATGAAGGACGAATTAACCGGCGCCGACGGCAAGAAGTTCCGTCTCTCGGACCCGTTCGGTGACGAGTTGCCCACGCGTGGTTTCGATCCCGGCCAAGATACTTATGAGCACCCACCGGCTGACGGCACGAGTGAGTCAAGCCTGTGTTAGATCCCGACATATTAGAGAAAAAGACGACACAGGATGCCGTTTGATCCCACGGGTTAGGATCCGTAAGCTGGGGTTAATGCCGCGGAGTTCCACAGCACGCTTCGGCATGCCACAGGATTCGTCAGTATGATCTGCCGTGTGTGCCAGATCTTAAACAGTTAAAAAAGATTAAGCATAAATACTGAATTTAGAAATTGAAGTTTTTTTTTGTATTTTAACAGAGGTGAAAGTCGACGTATCACCCACTTCTGACCGTCTTCAACTCTTGGAACCATTCGACAAATGGAACGGCAAAGATCTCACCGATCTGACCATCTTGATCAAAGTGAAGGGCAAGTGCACCACGGACCACATATCCGCCGCCGGACCCTGGCTCAAATATCGCGGTCACCTGGACAACATTTCCAACAATATGTTTATCACGTGAGTAAGCAATTAAAGAGCGAGTAACTTATTTCCTTTGAAGGATATACAAACTCAGTTAAACAAGCACGGTGCATTCGCTCCTTACCTCATAGCATGTAACCAACTATCGGGCACATCTACCATAATATCAAAATCATACCTAATTTAATTCACTTCTTATAACGCCACAGAGCGACGAACGCCGAGAACGGCGAACTGAACAAGGTTCGCAACCAGAAGACAGGGGAATGGGGTCCCGTTCCCGGAACGGCTCGCGCGTACAAGGCGGCGGGCATTCCGTGGTGCGTCGTGGGGGATGAGAATTACGGAGAGGTACGGAAGAGATTTAATGTTCAAGCTTTTGCTCGCGGTAACGGCGGCGTAATAATTTGTCCTTACTGTGCATAGCGAACAGTCTCGCTTCGCTCTAAATCCAAATGTTTACGTTTTGTCGCTGAAAGTTTTTAAATCAAGTACACTGACTAAAGTTATGATGAATTGACCGAGTACAGTGAGAGCGAGAGTGGCTTTATCATTTTAAGCAGATCGGTAAATATAAAAATTTGGGCTTTAGAGTTTAAATCTTGTTATATTGTATTAAGATCGCTTCGATATTAGGTTGGTATAGTATTATCGTTGTGAATGAGGTGACTTATTCCAAGCTATAACGGTTCCAGGGCTCGAGTCGGGAGCACGCAGCGTTGGAGCCACGTCACTTGGGCGGTCGAGCTATCATCGTCAAATCCTTCGCCAGGTACATCCGTTAGGCATCCCTAATGGGCATATTTATAGATATGGTACGGTATGTACATTCCTTAACCACAAACTTTTTTCAGAATCCACGAAACTAACCTGAAAAAACAAGGCCTGCTTCCTCTCACGTTCGCCAACCCAAGTGATTATGACAAAATCCAGCCTGCCGACAAGCTTTCGCTGCTCGGTCTGAAGGATCTCGCTGCCGGAAAGGTACAACCTTTGTTAATTATCCATTCATTTATACTAATATATAAAGCTGAAGAGTTTGTTGGCATGTTTCAACGGGCTATTCTCGAGAACTACTGGTAGAAAAATGATATTTGTGTTGGAGAGAGCATTTATTGAGGAAGGCTATAGGCTATAAAACTTTGCGCAGTGATTGATAGGAGCGAAGAAACAGCGGGAAATGTGGAAAAAACGGGAAAAAATGTTCATCTTTGTGGGTTTCCAATCCGTACGCTGCTAAAACGGTTTAAGATATCCAAAACATCTGTATGATAAGATGATTTCTCTTGAAATAACCAAAAAATATGTCCGCAAAGTATGTCTATGTTTTGTTGTTATGTGTTAAAACGAGGAGACGCAGACGACGGCGTGGGTAACAGTTAAAAGTTGTATAAATAAGGACGTTTGCAAAAAGACATTTTGATGGCCAAAAGAACTATTTTATATGCGGACGAAGTCGCAGGCACAGTTAGTTTGATTCTAATAAGGATTAAGGGCACCTCCTTACCTACGTAAATAAATGATTTTTGACTTTGAATTTTACGATTGCAGCCTGTAGAATGCGAAATCAAGCATCAGGACGGCAAGTCGGAGCGCATCAAATTGAACCACTCCCTCAACGAACAACAGATCGCTTGGTTCAAGGCCGGTTCGGCTCTCAACCGCATGAAGGAACTCGCTGCCAAGTAAACTTCTGGTCGTAGATAAAATCACAAAGTGTTGCCTTCTATTCGAATTTTCAAATGAGCGTCGCCGCCGCTACATCTGCGCGTCTCGGTTTAGAGATAGTCAACGATGCCGATCGCCTTCGTGAGCCTCTACTTTAAAGTTACAATAAATATTAATTAGACTTGGCAGCGCTGAATAGTATTGTAAGCACTGAAACAACTTGTTACCACATGTAGTACAATAATGGTAGTGCATTTCTGGATGCCGTCGCGGCATTTTGTTACTTAGAATTGTAGTAATATAAATGTGTATCTATCTTTTGAACATTGTTTTCAATTAATTGTTGTATTGTACTAGTAATTATGTAAGAATTCATGTTATTTATGTACATAATTATTTTTTGTGTACTACTGTTAATTTAAACTAATAAAAATTACGAACTTACAATTATTTTATTTTTTTGGCCCTTAATTATCTTATTTTCACTCAATATTGCTTGTTGATAGATGTAAAGAAATATAATTTTAAACACAATACTTATTATTATAAAAATTTAAATTTGAACTCGGTTTGTCTTAAAAATGGCTTATAAAACGTCACTGGTGGAGGATTATTCTAATAATCATTAAATCATGTGTTACCTGTGAGGGAACTATCAGGTTTGCTTTTTTAATTTGCAACTATTATTTTGTATCAAGTATTCTATCAAAATTTAAAAGTAAGCAATATAATCATTAAGACATTCTTCGAATAAAAGTCGTTTTGTTGTAAAACTATATAATTAGCTGTTAAACTCAATCTTCATTATCTTCATTGTCACTGTCAGCATTTATGTTGAAGTAACGCAGTTCATATGAATCATGAGCCGAAGCAACCACTCGAAGCCAATCACGGAGGTTGTTCTTCTTCAGGTATCTTTTGGTCAGATACTTCAAATACCTCTTGGAGAAGGGAATGTCTGCAATAATTGATGAATTAAATTTCGAGAAGAGCAGTAGTAATTAAAATATAGGAAAGAATTATCATAGGCTTATGAAAAACTTAGAAAGCTTCATACACAAAATTAAAAAAATACTACATTTTTAAGAACTAAAATGCGTCTAAACAAAAATGTGGGTTTGGTGGAAAAATCTAAGACCATAATTATCAAAATGGAATAGAAACGACAAAAAGACTTACCTGCACTGATGGCAACTTTAGTTTTGTCGCGAGCGATTACAACGTGATTGCCTAGGTTATTAGTTTTGCCTTCAACTTTAACACGCTCTTTTAAGTATTTTTCAAAGTTTCCCACATCGAGAATACTGTCTTCTGCAGGGTGGGTGCAGTCGATGGTAAATTTCAAACTGATTTTTCTTCTTTGGCCCTTGCCACGAATTTTACCGCCTTTCACGCCTTTCTTACCAGTTTTCTGGTGTAATTGAGCTTTTTTAGCTACTGGCTTCTTTGCGACTGCCATTTCGGCAAACTGTAATAAAAAACTATAATCGTAAATTATAAAAGAGTAACTATAATGAATAAAAATAAATGATAGCCTACCGAACACGTGTTACAGTCGCCGAAAAATCTACAAAATGGCCGATTCCAAGTGACACTTACGTTGACATTAAACACGGTAATTATCTTTTTTTTATGTTATACAATTGTACATTACAGAAGATGTCAGGATAGACTATGGTTATCGAAAATGTATTATAAATTATGACGATTATTTGAATAAACTATTAACAATTATTAATAAAAAATATTGCTCATCCTATAATGTTTGTTAAAAAAATGATATAAATATAAAGAAAAAATGTAGTTTAAAAAATTATGAAAAACTGAAGGTAAAAAAAAAAATAAAAATAGGTTTTCTTATCTTCAATTCATTTTTTCATGGGAAACCGTTTTCCACTTTATAGAGTTTGAATATTTTAGGAATTTAAATCGATATTTATAGTTATTTGATCCTATCGGGACATTTTATAGGAGTTGGCATCACTACATCGAATATTTTTATTCTCCCGGCTAAAAGGCTAGCGTCCATGGTCATATGATGAATTAAAAATAATTGTATATATAATATTCTCTAATCGAAATAATTATTATTTAAAAATATTGACTGGATTTTTAAAAGTCAGTTTTAGTTTTCACCAGTACTCAATGAAACATTCAGTAATTTATGTCCTGAATAAAGATTAAGCTACAAATTGAAAATGGATGATGTGAAGGTGAGCTAATGTTAATAAAATGGATAAATGTTTTACCGTCTGCGGCTGCGATGATCTCGAAGGAATTACTAACTCGGACTTGGATCGTTTCACGGATAAAATAGAAAATGTATTAAATGACGAAAAAGGTAGGCGTCTATTTAGAAATTTTATGTTTTCAAGTAATATGAAGCACGGAAGGCGAACTCTAGATTTTTGGGAACGAAATGAAAGGCTCCTAAATTACCCAGAAGACTCTGATAACTCGTCTCATCGGAGCTACCTCAGAGATGTGGATCATCTTATTAACGAGGCAGAAAGAATTGAGGAGCTAGATTTTGCTGCAGTGGAACGGTTAGCAATCGCGCGCGATGACGGTAACAAACAAGAAATAGTGGATGCACTTAAAGTTATCAAAGTGGAAACGACCAAAGCCTTAAGAAGAGAATACTTTGCATTTAAACTGCGGTTTATACCACCAAAACATAAATAAAATTTATAACCATAATAGTGTACTCACCATATGGTGATTCATATATGTGTTTGTTGTGAATCAGAGAACATGAACTGCATGTTTTGTTATTTATATTTTATTTATTGTGTATATATGGAAAACATTAAATTATTATGAACTTAAACATTTTTATTCACCTTACACAAGATTATCATATGAGATAACTATATAAAGATTTGCCAGCAAATAAAGGTCTTCAAATTGAATTGGATCCGTTGGTTCAGTTTGGTTCGAATAATAATTCTACATTGTATGCCCTATTAGCCTTTCCTAACTATGCTCAGATGATTTCAGACAAGACGATAATGTAATTACAGTAAAATATAATAATATTAATAAAATATGACAACATAAAAATAGAACATGATGTGAAATTTAATAATTCTATTAATATTTACTCTTACAATTAAAATACTTTATAATTTTTTCATATAAAGTCTTTGTCTTAGATAATATGATAATTAATTATTGTATCACTGCAGCTGCTAAATTGCAGCTTATTCACTCTTAGGTTTTCTTCCATGAGTAGTACATCTCCAGCGGTTTGTTGACCTTAAAAAAAATTACTTTTATTTATTTAATTATTATGGACACTAGCTAACTTGTAAGTCCACTTGATTTCTTATACTGTTCTTTTATTTTGCTTATATACAAGCATTAGCACAAAACAAAAATGACTATCTTGTCTAGTCAGATATTTCTCAAGTAGTAAACATAGCATGTATTTCATGAATTACCTTCCAGTACTTGTCATTTATCTGTCTCAAGGTCTGCGCTCCAGCAAGAGGCACATACTGCCCAGGTGCTGGAGCCACATAGATGCAAAAATTAAGGAGACGGTAGGCTTCAGGCAGCTCAGCGTCTAAGTCTAGTGTGAGGCGCATAGCTAGGTACTTACTCAAGTGATCAACTGAAAACATTTTATTGTTTACTTAGAAGAGTAACATTATTAGTAGATTACAGTATTGCCAGAAAAGATTGGGTATCCTTACTAAAGAATAGTGTAAAAAACCCTTGCATGCTTTGGAAAACAAATGATGATGGAACCAACTTGTGCTACACTATAAAGAAATGTTTATTAAACAAAGCATTTTTTTATAGTAAGCATCCCATTTAAGTTTTAACACCATCAAAGCTAAGTATAGCAATGTTAATTAGCTCTTTAAATAATATTCCAACTACTTGTACGTCAAAATGAAATTTTACTAAAATTTTGTCACAAAGATGTGGGCATAAGCTCCGCAGGAGACTAGCTAGTTTTAAATTAATATGCCATGAAATATTTTCACTACAAAAACCACTATGTATTACCTGAAGCATTAGCTGTTGTTTTTAAATATCTGACTGAGCTATCTCTCAGAGCTCGCATTAGTTGATTGTCACCCGTCATTTCTGTTGGATGAGGTTTAAATACTAATTCTATTTCATTGGGGTTAAGAACTTCCCCCTCCCCTTCAGTGTCCATAGAGTTCTCACCCTCAGTCCTAAAATATTATATGATCTGTTGTATATTTTAGATAGGAATATAGTAAAAAGAAAAGGTTTAATTTTACATTTACCTCTATAGACTTTAAATGTAGACGACAATATGTTACTAGTGGGTGACATTCTATTATTTGTAATTTTTATTATCAGCTTTATGTAGTGTTCAATTGTTACTTCTATATAATATTTTATTGATTTTATTAAAGAATAAAGGACAAATATTTAATTATGGTTCTTTTAGAGGTCTCTACAAACCTGCCATCGCTAGATTCACTCTCTTCACTTCTTTCCGAAGTTAAAACTGATTTTGCCCTCTTAGTAGTACTTGTGTTTTTGGATACAGAACTCACATTAGATGGCACTGGGGATGGGGTACTTCTCACAGATGCTGGGTTAGATGTGGATTGGCCTGGGAGTGTTGGATTACCAGCTGAAGAGCACTCCCTGGTGATGGCTGTACTCGTAGTACTTCCATTTTGAGCTGATTCTGCAGTACCATTTGCATTTGGTGTATTATTGTTACTGTTTTCTTCCTGGTTTTTTCGCGACCTTTGAGGCCTATTTTGTGATTGCAGTTTTATACCTTCAGTTATGGAATTAACTAAGGAAGCTTGAGAATGGGACATGTTAATTTTTGCCAACACCCGCTCTTGGTGAGCCTCATACTCGTCTCTACTCGGATATATTTTTGATATGAGTAGGTCAAAATTAGGATCAGGTCTAAGAGACCGTTTGGAGACTAATTTCTTTCGACAGGTAGGGCACTCTTTGTTACCGGAGCGCAAGGCGGTTATAATGCAATCTGAACAAAATCTATGAAGGCATTCCTTCGTAGTCATCGTCTTCTTGAGCATATCTAAACAAATTGGACACATCAACTCGCTGTGTAAACTCCGTGGCGAAACCGCGATTTCTGTCGCGTCTGTTATCACTTCTTGCGGTGTTCGGTGCAATTCGTACAGTGAAAGTTCCCATGTTTTATTTTGAGAAGGTTCAGTCGATGACATATCTCTACTTCACTGTATTGAAGGTCCTAAATAAGTGATTTTACTAATCGATAATTGTTCTAGTAAACAACAAGCGAAAAGTCAAAACTCAACCGCCGCCATTTTGTTTATGTTTGACAACAACAAGAGGCAGGAATCTCTCTGTTGGATTGTCATCTCTGTCACCTCTGACAATTCGTATATGCCATGTCTTAATTTATTTTCATCACTATGGGAATAATGACCTATACTTATATTATAAACTAGCTGTAACAACTACTTCGGCGAGTACTGTCGGCGAGAATCGTTATTTTGGGCATCCAAATGCGTTTTTGTAAACCCCGTCATCTTTATAAAGTTAGCTGTTACCCAAGAAGTCGGTCACGTCCCTTCCCGTCGTTCTTACAAGTTAATCTTAGAAGATAGACACATAGCGTCGCAGATTTTTTTTTTTATAATTTAAAGAGAAATCATTCTTTCATACATTTTTATTGGGTATTTCAAGATACCCAAAAAATATTCCCGTTTTCGCAGCGTACGCATCGGAAAAACACAGAGATGAAAATTTTCCCCCGTTTTGTTCACATTTCCCGCTGTATCTTCGCTCCTATTAGTCACAGCGCGATTATATTTCTTTTATGGCCTATAGCCTTACTCCATAAATGTTCTAGCTAACACATAAATAATTTTTCAATTCGAACCAGTAGTTCCTGCGATTTGCGCTTTTAAACAAACAAACAATATATAGATGCGAAAGTAACTCTGTCTGTTCGTCTGTCTGTCCGTCTTTAACTCCGAAACTACTGAACTGATATGAATGAAATTTAGTACACAGATATTTTGGAGCCTGCGAAAGGACATAGCTACTTTTTAATGCCAAAAAAGGGATGATAGGGGTTGAAAAAGGGGAGTGGAAGTGAAAGTGAGAGTGGGAGTTAAAGTAGCACTTAAAACATAGATTGGCTACCTTAAATGCGCCCTTACATAAATTAATAAACAACCTAAATAATAAAAAATTTAGCCCAAGTCACTATCGCGGACGAAGCCGCGAGCGCAGCTAATTTAAACTATAAATATGGTGATATGAAACCTTTTAAATAAAACACTGTTCAAGTGTTTTTACACGGTTTAAAACGCGATATATGTTAGTTAAACTTATTCGGAAATTATGTACAAAGGATGAAGAAGCTAGAGGTATTATATGTTCGGGTTTTGTCAATGTTTGAAACACAGTTTATAGCACAGATTGTTACTTTCTTGCATTAAAATATCTCTCTAAACAATCAAGCTTTGTAGCCTTGATCGATGGGCATGTTTTTGGACCGGAGAGCCAGCTATATGGTCCTTCATAGAATTTCATTTAGTTCAGTGTGCGTTCACATTGCCCGTTAGTAGAAATTCTTTTAGTTCTTGCGATAAAAATGTCGAAACATGCTCTGAATGTATAAATGTGTCTACATACCTAACAAATATGGTGAATAAATTATGTTAGTGGTTTATAACAGTTTTATGCAAACAGCTTGATCATCAAAGAGTACTGGAGTCATAAGAGCATTAACTGATTTGTCGCGACGTACTTTGGCAAAGCGAGTCTAATTTGCACATTTGGCTAGTAGCATTTTTACCTGGATAATTTTACAAAAAGCATTGAGTGGTGAATGGAGTGTTGGCTTAGTAATAGGGCTCTCGTAATTTGTGATAAAATTATTAGCGTTGTGTTTGGGCCATTTCCTAAAAATTACATTTGGCTGTGCGTTTTTGAACAGGCGTTATGAGATAGACGATACATGAAAAGCAGTACGTTCGTAACTCGTGTAGAAAATTATACAATTAAAGAAAATAAATAATTACCAAAGTATACAAGTTGTTTCCTTGTACTACCTATATAAGAAAAATCTATAATCTTAAGCTATCCATATATCCTATACTGTTGAAGAAATTTGAACAATACCTAATAATTGTAATGTGTGTTCTGAAATAAAGCCTAGATTCTGTACAATCAGCTCGAAGAAATGATCAAAGAAAATATCCCATGCGAACGCGAGCCACAACAATCGCTATTAAAAAAAAACAAAAGAAAAATATATGTTATAGCGCTGTAGCAGTCTTATATATGAAGTAACTTATTTTGATAAGGAATTATACCAAGTACAAATAAAAGTTTTGAATGTAATGTATTGTTTGAAATAGTTAATTCTAACAATTCAAAAAACAAGCTTCTTGATTTATTTTTGTATTGGCATGAATTTAAACAAAAATATGAATAAAGTGGTCTAATTTTGGTACTTATATTTCGCGTTTTAAAAGACGAGTGTTAAGAGTGTTATATAAACACATAGTGTTTCTTTTATCGTTTAATAATTTGTTTTTACTTACATCCCACCTAGCTAGTCTATCGTATTAAAAATATTTCCAATTAAATTTAAAAATAAGACATTGAGTTATGTACTTTGAATAATTTAATTTGGATCTAACGTAAAATATATAAAAATTGTAGACAAGTCTTGACGTTTGAATTTTTCGAAAAGAGCGCCTAGCCTTGTTGTACAGGAACTAAAATCTGATTTGTGCCACTTTGATTAGGCATCACAGTGAATACGTTGCCTTGGTTAGTGGTGCCTTGTGTTGATGGTTGGACAAAAATTGTCTGTTGTCCTTGTTGTCCAGGTTGTTGTACCAGAATTGTCTGTTGATTGGGCTGAACTTGTTGACCGGGTTGTCGAAAAACAATAGTTTGTTGACCCTGTGGTTGAGGTTGTTGTTGTACTAGAAAAGTTGGCTGATTTGATGATCCAGAAACAATTATAGCTTGTGGCTGTCCTGATTGCGCTTGTTGTTGTCCGGGTTGAATAATCATTGGCTGCTGCGTTGCTTGTTGACCGAGTATAATTTGTTGTTGACCAGATTGCTGGGGCACTAGTATCGCCTGCTGACTTGGTTGCTGAGCTAATACCATTGCGGTCTGTTGTTGATTGGGCTGAGAAACCAGCACTTGGTTAGGTTGTTGTTGTACCAAAACTTGCTGACCATTGGGCTGTGTCGTCAGAATCATGGTCGGCTGACTTGTGAGTTGACTGGCAAGTGTGGGTTGCGGATTTGATCGCTGAATAACAATTTGCTGTGGTTGATTTTGAGGAGAAGCCAATATGAATGTTTGTTGGGGTTGCCGCGACACCAATATTGTTTGACCGTTTGAATTTGGTTGATTCAAATATGTGGCTTGTTGCCCGGGTTGGCTAAGGTACACTTGTTGTTGCGGACTCGGTTGAGCGATTATACTTTGTTGTTGCTGACTCGGTTGACTAATGTACGAAGTCGTCTGTTGGGTAGGTTGAGTAATATAGGTCTGTTGCTGATTTGGTTGGTTCACGTAGGTTTGTTGAGTTGGCTGATTTACGTACGCCGATTGAGCTACTTGTTGGTTCGGTTGTTGATTGACCATAACGGCTTGTGGGTTGTTACTCGTTGTCTGTTGTTGGTTGACTATGACATTTTGCTGTGCCGTTTGTTGTCCTGGAGAACCGCTGTTAGAATTCAATTGAGCATTGGCTCGAGTTACACTCGACTGATCGGCGCTTCTCTGCTCTATTGATGGCTCTTGTTCGTTTTTTTGATTTTGAAGATGCTTGAATGTATCCGCGGGAATAAACACTCCGGAAACTATGTTCTTACTGTTTCCATCACCAACTGGAAGTCCATTTACAGTTATAAGAAGCGCAGCGAAAATTGTCTGAAATCCAATTAAATATTGTCTGTAGTTTACGCTAGTGGTACATTTTTACATAAAACACTTAAACGGTTTAAAACGCGATATATATTAGTTAAACTTATTTGAAAACTATTCTTAATTTCGGCCCGACGTTTCGGGTGCTTTGCAGCAGCCGTGGTCACGGGGAGACGGTTAAAGTGTTTTATTTAAATGAAATCCAATTTCCAACAAAGTCTATATTAACATATTTACTGAATAATAAAGATAAGAAAATTTTTCGTGTAAACCATGATTTTATTAAAAAAATAACTCACCACGTGCATTTTGATCATGTTGACGTTGTGAAAGTAAGAAGATTTGTGAAAAAGACACATCGATATAGTCGTTATATACTACAGCAGTGCTGTGATCAGCTCATCAGTTAATTACTTTGGGATTTTCAAATTGATTCTTGTCGTGGTAACGAGAAATATCCATTTTTTAATTGCATATCGATTAAGTATCTACTTAGATAACTTAATGAGATGTAACCAGGAAATCCCTGTCTACTTTTATAAAAGTTTAAAGCGCTTATTTATATTATATTATTTTGAGAACGTTAGATGGAGGACTATAAGAAGGAAAACGTCCCTATGACATCCCCGGTTCCAGAGGTACCAACCTTCCACTAGCTCATAAATAGAAAACGAATAAACGGTTATATAATGTGCGACCCTTTTTTAAAAAGTAATGTGAGCGAACTCTGTGTATTATACGATTTTTTTTTTCGTAGGTTGCTGTTTACCTACTTAAAAGCATAAATCTAAGGCAGATACCACCGAAACTACAGACTTCAAACAGTTAACTAATAATCATAAAATACATTATTTACAATGACGAACAAAGTAGTATTTTGAATAAGTGTAGGTAGTATAGGTGTAAATAATATTACAATTCTAAATCGGTGCTAAGTGTCATATACTACATAGAAAATAAATTAAGTTTAAACACAAGTAAACGTTGGGGAGATCCTAGAAATGACCAATGTTTCATGTAGGTGTAAGGTTCTTAATGATACAAATCAAGATTAATACACGTTGGCCGCGAATCCTTCTACAATCTTTCGCCTCCACGATCTCCTAACATTAAGCCGTATTTAAAACAAGAAGAATAACATGTATGTCCATTTAATATTCATTTATATTTAAACATTTGCGCTTCAGCGTGAACCATCGATCCCTAGTTGCAAAGATCAACATACTTAAGAATCAGTAGATATATCTGACCTATAATCACGGTCATTCATCTTTTACTGACTTTTATTATGAACCAATAGACTATGTATTCGACAAGCTACACTAGCGGTCCGTCCCGGCTTCGCACGGGTATACATAAATAGGTAAAGATGTTTAAATTAAAAGTATGCTTATAAAAACTACCATGTATTGTTCATCCTAGCTGTTAACGACAGTTGTCTATCTCGTTGTGTCAGGAGCGTTCAGTGTTAGTTCGCGAATTTCTAGCTCCTTTTCCTTATTTCCTTCAAGTCGCTGCGAGCGCTCGGCCCTTGACTGTCATTCGTATAGCTGCGACGATCTTGCATTAACTAGACGCTAGATTCTCTGGCTCGCGATTGGGACGCGTAAACTTTCCAGACGATCATTTTAGGAAGAAGACTCTCCAATACGACGAACTTTTGCTAATCTCGCTTGGGAACTATTCTTTGATATTTATTTTAAATCTGAGAAACGAATAATAATACAAAAGAAAATATTCAAGTTCAAAGAGATTGTTCTGAAAAGATCTTTGACAAATATTATGCTAAGTGTTTTTCCTAATACTAATACTAAGTAGTTCTGAAAAGAACTTTTTAAGTGAAGCATAAAAATGTTAAAAAAACTCATAATATTCAATGTCGCTTGCGTCCACTGCGTAAGGAGCCCACTGCCCCTCTTTCGCCGAGTTAGATACTCGATGCACGGCGTGAATATTAAATTATTTGTTTGGATAAAAAATTATAAATGGTATGGATAACACGGTCTCTAAAAAAGTAGTTATAGTTACGTAACTATAATAGCTAGACATATGGTCTCACGATGTTTTTTGTAGATATTGATAATATATTCTATAATATTGTCAAACATTTTTTTGTCCTATTATAAATACTTTTCACAGCGTATGCGATGAAAGATATTTTATGGCTAATTTTGTTTCACCTCCCGTTGGTTTTCGTAGAAATTTCTAAAGATTTCTATAGTAATCTAGTACTAAATATAACCTATGTTACTCAGTGATATTGTAGCATTCTAATGAAAAAAGAATTATTAAAGTCGGTCCAGTACTTTTTGAGTTTATCCGTTACATATAAAAATACAAATCTTTCCTCTTTATAATATTAGTATAGATTTGTTTTGTTTAGTTGAATCGATGGAAGTCATTTCTAATTTAATTTAATTAAATAAGTATATTTAAGGTAATTCTACATTACTTTAGTGCTTACTAAAACAATGTAATCCTTCTGAGAAAATTTTTGACGAAATTTGAATTTGATTTTTTTTTGAGAAAAATGATGATGTTAATTATGTTTTTGTTTAAAAAAAAATTCAAATAATACAGTATATAATTCACAGGTTTTAAGACGTCGCGCCTTATTCGATATGCACATACAGTTTCGAATCGATAGTCATGAATCATGATGAATATTCTTTTGGCTCCTATTACCCTCCATACTCCTTCAAGCCTCGGGAGCATCAAAAGCACCAGCAAAAGTCTATTCTGAGTAGTTTTCGAAAGTAGAAACTATATTGACAACATTCTAAACCAAAAGAATTGGTCGTGAGTCGATTCGAAGCATGAATTTTTGCTTTTACTTCTAAAGAAAAAACAGTTAAAAGATCGCTTATAAATCGATAAGAGTGCTCTATTGAAATGATGTGTCCTAAAAATAGCTAATATTGTTAATTTTCTTGCATAGCTTAAAACACAGCAAATAAACATAAAGATAACACAAAAAAATGCACAAAACAAATTCTTTTTATTCTAGACGTATTATTTAGTTCGATGATCGTTTCAACTTTGCGAAGTCCTACGTTTATCTCGACCTGTTGGAGTTTCTATGTGACCAAAATGGCAGGCAACACTTTTCACATTTCAATAAAAAAAAAATTTAGAAGAATAAATAAGGTAAACTATCAGGTAAAGCGTAGTTAGTTTGCGCAGGTGTATCACCGTGCGCTGTAAACCGTAACAATGTCGCAGTCGCTTATTGATAAGGTTACGTATTAAAATTCATAATTGCACAATTTAATGATATATAAGATTCACTAACCGATCCACATTTTAGCCGGAGTTTTTGCTGTGTTTTTTAGTGTATATGAAAATGAGAGGTGAAAATTTAATTTCTTCCTAAAATATACATATATATATCAAAAGAGTAATTAAAGTTTTAATAATTCTCCGAGACCCGTAAACATCCATGAATCTTCTATTAAAGCTAACCTGAAACTGTAGATACAGTGCATATCGCAAATGACCATTGAAATTTAATTTATACAAACTATATGCTTATTTATTATACAAACCATTGTACATGACACACAAAAAGGGTAGTATGAGTAGAATATTCCTTAGTACAAAGATGTTGTTTAAATGAAGCGATAATAGAACTTTTAAAATTATTATTATTATTACTCATATTGATACATTACAATTCATTTGATTTAAAAAATAAACAATAAACAATGCCTACAGACCCGAGTAAAATAATAAAATTAGAGTATAAATTAAATATGTATGTGTTTTACTTTCTCCTCAACTATAAAACAAAAATTGCTTAAAATATTCATGTCCAAGTGTATCTTCAACCGGTAGAAGTAAAAATATACTTAAGGTTTAAATTAAGATTTTTCTCTACTACTAGAAAGCAACAAATTCACAAAGCAAATTCGATTACATGCACATT